GCAGAGAGAGATAAGTGACACAAATGTAAACTAGATTTAATCTGATCTGCCTTGGCGGGAAAAAAAAGCGACCGATTTTTATACCATTCATCTCCTGTTCGATGATGTGCCGTGTATTTGATTCTGTACGCCACCGGGTCCATCTTCCCATCCTCCATGACCATCTTCATCCTGAGTGTGGCCTCTCCCTCGGCAAACAGGCCCTTCTTCATCCTCTCAAACAAAACCAGGGACTCTTCAATAGGACGATCCTTCCACGGTGATGGAGGAACGTTATGGCCCTTTAGTTCCTCCCCCTTCTGGTGGCACACATACGCATGACCCCTGCAGATCGACAAAAAAGTAACATCATTGAATGGGTTGTGCACATTTACCAACATGTGTTCCTAGTTCCTACGCTCACCTGCGAATTAGATCCACAGCAAGGTCGTAGAGTTGCTGGAAGTTATCAGATGCATGCGTGACTTCATAAGGTGTGTAGCCTGTGGAATGAAATCACACTGATAAGAAACTATCTTCATGAAGGCACATTGTATTTAACAAAGCTTTAATCTGACCCAAAAAAACATATGTATCAAACTCACCAAGCCACTCCACCATGTCCTTAATGGCAGTGAAGTATTTCTCCTCCTCCTTTTCTGGATTTGTGTCATCGTACCTCAGGAAACAAATACCATCGTTTGCCTGCAGGAAGACGAAAGTTTAAAGAAAACATCTATGTACGAGAGGGTTAAACAGCCTGTGTGATGGTGAAGGATGAGAAAAATACTCATACCTTTGCATAACCAAAATTGAAGTTAATAGCTTTGGCGTGTCCGATGTGAAGGATGCCGTTGGGCTCGGGGGGGAAACGGGTACGAATCTAAAGGAAACACAAAATCATCTTCAAACTGCAACTATAAATCATTAGTTAACACACATGTTATTTTAATGATTCCAGTGATCACTTGTTTGGTCTAAAATAAGGTGTTTTCAGACATGATCTCTTTTTGAAAATGTCTACCTGTCCACCAGTGATCTCCAGGTGCTTTTTAAGCAAGGACATGGTGTTTGGTGTAACCACGTAGCCCTCAGTCTTATAGTTCTCTCCTGTAAGATGGAAGGACAGGTTTTAAGCTAAACATATTCACTAAATGCACTTTTTTGCTCTTGTGGTTGAGTATGTCTTTTCTTCTCACCTTGTTTATGGAACTTAAGTGCTTCTCCCCTGAGTTGTTCCATTAGTGACTTCCCCTGCTCAGCGATCACCTCGCCTAAACAGGCAGAATGCAAACAGCTAAGAAACAATCCACCGACAAGTACAGTTAAATTAGCTCCTGTCTGCCATCCACGCGATGCTCACCATTCACTGCCACCTCCTCCTTCTTTGACTTCATGTCATTCTCAGTGACTTTTGTTTTCTGGGCCTGGAAGATCATTAGATAAACAGATGAAATCAGCATATGAGCTTTCTTGTAGAGAGTTAAATGAGAAGATGAACATGACTCAGCTAGCTCCCCGCTTAGCCAGAATAAGGCTGAAAGAGCAAAATTAAGTTTTAAAATCACAAGTTTTAGCTTTAAAGTGGGGTATATCCCAAACTAATATTGACACGGTGCAGAAAGATGGAAATAGCAAAGCAAAAAAATGGTGAGCATTACCTTAGATTTCTTCTCCAGATCGGCCTCTGTCTTGGGTCCTAAGAGGTGCAAGACCTTAGAGATGAAAGCCGGAGTGAGAACAAACCTTAATTCAAAATATTCTGTCACAGAAGACAGTTATATTATAACTATTAATATTCTTCTTTTCTAACACACCTGCATGTCGACCTCATTTTTGATGACCTTCCCATCAGCCCATTTCAGGGCAGCACGTGCTTCTCCTGTAATACACACAAACCTCAGTGAGACATGCTGTCTGTTCACATTTAAGATTTTCAAAAAAAGTTAGTGGTGTGTTGTTTTTCTCTTCTGCTGAACATGTTTTTTTTTCTTGAGCAGGTGGTCACAATGGTTACGTTTCAATGTTGCGTTTACAAGCCGTGAGTCTATAATTGGCCCTCTAAGCCTCTAAAATTCACCATGGGTGGACCTGCCGATGAAGGATCTAACATGTGTCGGACATAAACTGAAAAAAACAATTCAAATATCTCAGGATGAAAAAGAGGTGTCAAACATTCAGTAGACGGTGGCAACAATGTCAACTTGGAAAGACAATGAGATTTGAGAGCTGTTGGTGATAAGGGCTAATTGGTGGTGTTGATAAAATACAGGATTTCCCCAGCAGACTTTATACCTGCTTCCTGCATGCTTTACCCGGACGCCACTCATCACATGAATGTCCAACATTTTCCTATTGCTGTGAACGCATCTGACCCAGACAATCTCCTGCTGCGTTTTTTCATGTGAACAGCAAACTCAAGAAAAAGTCTGGATGCAATTTTCATGAAATCTTCCAAAGCTCATACCCATTAGTAGTCCCATGTTGAAGTGGTACCTCTCCTTTAACAGCGGTTCCTTGTGCTTCTTGATCACAGACTCCACCTGCACAACATTCCATGGTCAGTGAACACACCCTGTGAAGCTCTTAAAAGTTACTTTACTTCTGCTCAGCGTGAGCTAGTGCACTTACTGCATCTTCAATCTGTTCCGGTGTTATGACAACGCCTACTCCACACGCTTCTTCAAACTCCTTCATGTTGATGGGGTCCTGAGGATGACTCTTCAAAAACTCCAGTGCAGCTGCAAAACAAGTGAGTAACATTTCATGGAGCAGAGATTTGAAGAGATTTTATCCAGTCATTCTAATCTCATCTGAACAGTTCAAATAGGTTGACACACATTCTTTCTCCAATGCTCTCAGTCTCAATGCTTCTAAACAAACTACCTGGACTGAGGGTGCCATACCATGTTGCCATTCCATATCAAATTATGCTTTCTAGCACAGCCGTGTAAAACTAGTTTTCTTCTGCTGGGAATTAGTCTGAAAAATAAAAGACCTTTCAAAGAAATTCAAGTTAAAATTTGTCACGTTATTAACTATCCTTGTACTCTGTTCGTGTTCACACAGTTTGGGTCACTCATGAATTACCTGCCAGTTGCAGCTCTGTGCAGATTTTGCGCTGAGCTATGCTGACTGAAAGGAACTCCAGACGATTTGTGTCTTTGAGGCGAGACGCCATACTGTACAGAAGCGTGCCCATGGCTTTGTCCACTCCTGACACTCCATGAACACTCTGGGCCTGTTGATTACAAGGGGAAAAACGTTTGACGAAAAGACACCCAACACATGTGCACAGTATAATTTAAAATACTTTTTACACCTGGATCCTGGATGAGAGCCTCCATTGTCTGTGGTTAACTACTATTATTATTATAGGGTAAAGCCTTGGGCCCCTGGGGGTCAAAGGCAGTTTCCTGGTTGTAAATCCAGCCTTGTTGCACATGACCTCATGTGGAAAGTGAAAACAGAAGTATAGAGATAATAAAACTACATAAAGGTTATTTTAAGAGTGTGATTTACTCCTATATATATCTACAGCCTTACATAGAGGGGGTTCATACAACAAGTGAGCTGAAGACAGGAATGCCACGGCTGTCCCTCCAGGCACTTTAACTTTCCTCCTCACTCTGGATCATACCTGAGTAATCGCGTCCTTCAGGGCCGAGCTCAGAGCTTCATTCTTCAGCGTTTCCTTCGCCTTCTGCTCGCTGAGCCCTATGGAGGTGAAAAGAGCCAACATATCCGCCATTTTCCACACAAACAGCCGGTCAGACTGGAGCCACACAGACACGCCGCCACCAACGAGACTCTTCCCCCGGCAGAGGAAGACAAATGTGTCAGTGCGACTTCCGGTATGTGCAAAACAATATTCACCAATGGGACGTGGAGAGGGGCGGATGGGGTTGACCAATGGCGAATGAGTGTGAGCTCAAGTTGCCGCCTACTATGACTAAGTAGCCAATCAGCCGCTGTGTGAGATCTGTGAGGGAGGAGCTGCCGGAAGCGGTAATGTTGCATCAGTTTGACGGCGCATTCATGTGCTGTCGAAATAATCGGATAACGGAATGCCGACCGTGGAAATTCACGTGAACTCACCGTTAGTTCACAACAATAACAAAACTTTTTTGGTGTGGTTGTTGACGTCATCACACAGAAACATGGCAGACCAAAATAAACGTTAGAATAACTTGATTAATGATGCAAGATAACTCATTACGTATAATTTCCTCCTGCATTTGATTTACTGTTGACACGCACCATTTGTTGCTGCGCACGTAGAGTGACCTAGATGAGTAAGAATAGTTAATTATTAGCAGCAATTATGATGACAACTCATATTTAATAATTTACCGGAAGCTCAGAGTTACAAACTCCAACTCGACTTGTTTCCTTGAAGGCAGAACATTTCATTAACACATGAATGCAGCGCGACATTCAGAGATTTATTATATTTTCAATTATTGAATAAATATTAAGTTTAATAAATGTAATATTTGAATTTAAATACGTTTTAAACTACAAGTGTCCGCATTTTGCACTCATAGAAAACATTTCCTCACAAACGTAAACAAAAAACAAGGTTATTTGATTTTCGTTTTAAAATACAAAAGTTAAAATTGAAACAAAGAAATATATAACAATAATAATAATAATATATATAAATGTTTGTTTCACTTCATGTGGAGTATAGAACTCTAGACATTTTGATCCACACTTCAGTTTAGAAGGTGACAGTAATACACCGAAAAGTTGTTTGTCAACTAAAATATAAAAAAGCAGCAGGAAGAGAAGAAGACAGAAGAACCCTGCCAAAAACCGGAAACTGTCACTCATGCATTGAAATATAATAATCAAAGAAAATAATTAATATCAGGATTAAAAGACAGGAAGGAATATAACTCATCTTCTAATGAATAACTTAAGAGAAACAGGAGTAAAGAGAATACATCCTGATCCACACTCCATACCAGCTGGTGGCGGTAATGCGCCAAATCGTTGTTGTTGTTGTTGATATCTAGCCGCCATTAAAACCCAGAAGAAGAAGAACCGGTTTGTTGCACTGGGAGCATCGAGTCAGTCTGCGATGTGTTTAACAACACCAGGTCGCTGTCACAGGTCGGTAAACGCTTGATAAGCTGTATAAACCAGCAGGGTAAGTGTTCGCATCCATGGCCAAACATGCGGTGCTATCATCGGGGACACACGTGTGGAGATGTCTGACCTGCGCGAAGTCCGAGCTGCGTCTGGGGCTCACTCTTGCCTGTGGACAATCTTTCCGGTGGGTTGAGCTCAATCAGAAATATGCAACAATACTGGTGCAGGTGAAATCAACAGATTCCAACAATCTGAACCCACAGATGGAGAGAAACCGCACAAGGCCACTGGACAGGGGTGATGGGAGGACGAGTGTGGACTCTGACCCAGACAGATGACACCCTGTGGTACCACGTTTATAAAAACCAAGGAGGGCAGAGGAGGGGACCGGCTGGGATTTCCTCCCCAGGAGAAAGTAAGTCAGAGAGGAGATCGAAAGGAGCTGTGAAGGAGGAAGAGGGCGTGAGTGTAGTGAAGGACACTGAGGAGGAAGAGCAGATGCTGAGAGATTACCTCCAGCTGAGTGTGAAGCTGGCGAAGCTGTACACAGACTGGAGGGCAGCAGACCCCCACTTCAAGCAAATCGCAGACATTTTCACAGGTACGTTTGTGAATTCATGTGATCACCGTTCCGTAGATAACGACTGAGTCAGTGTTTTTTTTTTTTTAAATGAAATGTGATTTAGAAATGTAGTTTGGTCTCGCTCAGGTGTGAGGATGCTGCGCCAGGACCCCACTGAATGCTTGTTTTCCTTCATCTGCACCTCCAACAACCACATCTCCCGAATCCAGGGCATGGTGGACAGACTGTGTCAGGCTCTGGGTGCTCCACTGTGTCAGCTGGACCAAACCTCTTACTATGACTTTCCTTCCCTGACTGCGCTTGCAGGTACTTTGTTCTTTCCCTAAAGAACCCAAAGCATTCCATTCACCCATCAATAATCCATAAACCTGTGTATATAAACTTGCCAAGTAACATATATGTGTAAACCAGTATTTAAAACTGTGCTAGGGACCTGGGTCAGTGATATAAGTCATTTCTTCACTTGTTGGTGTGTAGTCTGTGGTTCAGTTGTTGAATATCCAACCAGGATTCCTTGATTTGATTCGTAGCCACCGCAACATTTTTCAACTTCCGATTACTTCACATTTTAAATAAGTTGAGCATAGATCAGTCATAACCTGGTCGACAATCACCCGTGCTAAATTATCATAGACATCATCTGTCATGTTACATGAGTTCTATGGGCTTCAGTCTATTAAAGCAATTATGTTATTGTTAATTATGTTATTCTTTACAGATCTGTATAGTTTATTAATTCAGCGAAGAAGCCACATTGTGAGTAATAGTCAGTGAAATGTTAATATCCAATAAAAGAGTTTCCTATTTGAATGTGTCACATTTTAAAGCAGTGCATGCTCACAATCATGTTTTCTGAAATGTAATTGGCAGACAGCAGCGTGGAGGCGTGTCTCAGGGATCTCGGTTTTGGATACAGGGCTCGGTTCCTGCAGCAGAGTGCCGAGCAGATTCTGGACAGGCATGGGCTCCAGTGGCTGGAAGGTCTACGCAGTATCCCGTATCTGCAGGCCCGTGATGCCCTGCGTACTCTTCCTGGTGTGGGCACTAAGGTACAGCAGCCGTATGTTTTTCTCATATTTAGTGAACTTAAGTGAAAACGTGATGAAGGTTTTTTGTCGTCCTGTAGGTGGCGGACTGTGTTTGTCTGATGTCCCTTGACAAGGCAGAGGCTGTGCCTGTTGACACACACATATGGCAGATCGCTAAGCGTGACTACAATTATGCTTCTGGCAACGGACAGAAGAGTATCACAGATAAACTTCACAGAGACATTGGTTGGTATTCACACATCTCAGTAATTGAAGTTGATGTAAACATTGAATATTTGAAACTCTTTATACAAGGCTCACTGTTATTTTTCATCACAGGGGATTTTTTCAGAAAACTGTGGGGTCCTTACGCTGGTTGGGCACAGTCGGTCAGTTTTATTCTAAACATTCAGTCTGTCGGTCAGTCTCTGTCATGTCCCCTCACACTCTCTCTGTTTTAGGTGCTGTTCTGTGCTGACCTGAAGAAGTTCCAAAAACTGAAAGAAATGCCACTGATGCAGCCAAAGAAGGAGGAAGAGGAGGAAGAAGAAATTGGGATAGCATGCAAGAAAGGAAAGATTAAGACGGAAGAAAATGTTGCGGTGAAGCGTGCGAAAACCAAGTCAGCGTGTCATAAGAAGGCAAAGATGTCGGTCAAGAAGGAGAGAGTGGTGTGAGGTAAACAAGCTTCTTGTATCAGGATTACATTGCATTACATTACATGTCATTTAGCTGACGCTTTTATCCAAAGCCAATTAGTGCATTCAACATCTATGAGGGGCCATTCAGGGTTCATTATCTTGCCCAAGGACACTTCGCATTGGGCTGGGGGAGAGTCGCCGTCCATCTGTTTGGAGGACAACCGCTCTACCCCCTCATCCACAGCCGATCTACACCATATTGCAAAAAACACACACGGTTATTTCAGATTAATTAAAAACCCGACAAAAAATAATTAACAGGAGATTTTTCTGACAGGAACATAATATGTAATTGATATTCTAATGTTTTTGTACTGTTTATATTTAACTGTAACCTGTCCTATGTCTACCTCCCCATAAGTACACTGTTACAACTGCACCACACAGGGTTGTTTTTACAATAAAACATTTGAACTACTTTCTATTTTAAAAGAAAATGTCCATATTAGCACAGTCATCAATCCAGATAGAATCTTCAACTCCAGTAAAACCATTTCTGCTAAATGTTGCCAGAAGTGGTCACTAGATGGCAGCATGCTTTGGAAGATATCCCCTGAGGGATAATGTCACATAATGGGCCATTTGCTTTAGCCTATTTTCTTTCTTTCTTTTTTTTTTTGTTGAAGAAATTGCACTGGATGAATATTTTTAGTTCAGACCTCAGGCTCTTGTTACACCATGTACACACACACACACACACATGCCGTGGCATTTGTGTGCATGTCTGAAAAGGTCATAGGACAAACATGGTGCTTCTTCTGTGAGTTTCCTGCATTAAAATAGTGTATCTGTCTGTTGGATCATAATAACGCTGTGTGGGTGGGTGGGTGGCTGTGGAGTGCCACAGTGACCGTATGTTTATCTATAGGCAGTAGTTGACTGTGTCAGCGGATCTTTTTATAGCAAGGACTGCAGTTAACTGTTGTCACTGCTGGGATGTTAGTGTGACTCTTTCTGTTGACAACATGGACATGTCTCGTGTCCCTTTTGACTCATTAATGTCCCTTTACAGTCATATTTTAATTAGTCTAAAATATATGGATTACTTTATCCTCCAATGTCTTCAAATCTCTCTGTGCTAATTTGATTTGATATTTTCTGATGTATAGTCTGGAGTGAGCAGGTGCATCATGCATGTAGCTGCATCTGTGTCAGAATGTGCACGTCTCACACGCATACAAATGTTTGTATTTGTGGAAGAGTGTGCAGCCATGTGAGTTAATGACTGAGTCAGCTTTCATCCCCACTCCATTTGAGCTGGACAAAAGCTGGGGCCCTGCTTTAAGGCAGCGTCACACTGAGGAAGACAAAACATAGATGATAAGAAAAGTCATAAAAACAGTCGGGAGAACAGGAAATGAATTTGAATTAAAGGGAAAGAGTAGAAAAGGTGAAAGTGTGCTTGAGGTGGTGACATGCATTGTAAAGAGAAAGCCACGTGTGCACGCACATTGACACACGCAGACAAAAACAACATCATCACAGTGGCCTGTGCATTATGTAAGAGGTGGGTCACTGTGTGTGTTATGCCTGCAGGAATTGTTCAGTTGAGAGTAGATCTCTTAACTCAGTGTTCCGTCCTTCTCTAATAAGAGGCTCTACTGCAGGCACCAGGGGGCGCACGCTTGGAACATGAGCAAAAGAGAAAGTAGACTGCATTGTGTATTTTAGATGTGTGGCATTTGTTTGGATTTGGCCTTTGGATGACATGTGAGACGTGTCTTTGAGGTGGTTGAGTCTGAGAGAGGTGGGAACCTCTGTTGCGTTCATTGATTAAATAACCACATGGACGAAGTATGATGGAAGTACCTGTTTTCACTGATGTTTATTAGATGGGCGTAATTCAAGGTATTTCATCACACTGGTGCAGAAATGTAAAAATCCAATACACTCAGTAGTCAGTTTATTAGGAACCCCTGCTGTCTAATCATAGTCCTGCAACAAATCCAATTTATGAAGGTTTCAATGTTCCGTTCTTGTTGAAAATGTTTGAAAAGATGTTATTTAAACTTTATGATAGTTTTTGGAGGATGTAGATTGAAGTGCAGTTGAACTGAGATGTGTTATTTTACAGTTCATATCAATGAGGCTGAGCTAAACAACACACTGTGTGTATGTCATACTGTAGGTCAACAGCAACACAAACTGCAGCCTCTATAACGATCACACACCTGAATCCACAGCTCTTTAACACAGTTTCAAAAAGTAGTGAACATTTTAACTTTCATTAAAGAAACGTATCGATGGACTGCGGTCATTTTAATCAAGGTGTTCCTAATAAACTGAAAACTGAGGTATAGCCTTAAAGCAGCCCTACAACAATGCCCATAATAACCAGCTTGAGAAAACAGAGCAATAGCTGCTAAAGTATAAATGATACAGATTGTGATAATTGGTAGTGATTTTATGTATATGGCCAGTGCAAGTCTAGTAGATACTGTACGGAATGTTGTCTTACTGTCAATACAGTTAATGTATTTATACTAACAGTTCTGTATATAATGGGAATATATGGACAGGAATTTGATATACATTAATTTATCAATAGTAATTTAAGACATAATAAAACATAATTCAGTTATGTCTACATCAATAGTGTAAATCAATGATGGTTAATAATAATGTATTTTGTCACAGCATAATGTTTCGCTCAAAGCTGAAAAAAATGTTTGCAAAGGAATAAAGTTTATAAGAATATAATTATTATAAAATAGTAATAATTGCTATTGGCATTGATTTATTCAAAGGAAACTGATTCATTTTGAATGTCCGTACTTCGTCTCTGTTGTCCAAAGATGGTCTCTGTGCAGGTTCACAGTTTGTCTGCTTCTTAAAGTGATGGATGTTATCATTCCTGAACAGTAACAGATGTATTATATAACAGTATCTGATACAATACCTAAAATGGATCATATTTGGAGCGAGTTGTGTTGATTCACCTTAGATGTGGTGAAACCCTAAGCTGCCGGGGACATTCGAGGGGGAGCCTGACGGACTGGGGGGGGGCAGTCCCCACATCAGAGTCAGTTTTTTTGGGGCCCGTAGTAGGGGAGAATATTCTTTGGTGTCTAGACAACCAGGGTGAAGGGAAAGCCACACACACAGAGAGAGAGAGAGCGTGAGTGCAGAGCTGGCAGAGGTACTTTAGACCCTGAGCTTTTCTGAATCATGTATGTGCAGATGGATTTGAGCATCTTTACTGTTCTTAGTTAAAGAGCTTTATTTTGTGGTGAAATGTGATACTTTCTTCCATCTGATAGGATCTCTGCTTAGCTGACTGTGATTACGGCTCAGTGCCGTATAGATTGGGTGGAAGAAACTGTTCCGTCTGCTCTGGTATTAAATTTCACGGCCCCCCAACCACGATCAATTCAAATGACTTAAGTGGAATGTATTCTACGCATTCCTGGACAAAGATGGTATAGAAACACTATCCACAGTGTGTGGGAGAGCATATATTCCATGTGAGGTTTTTTTTCGTGTGCGTCAGTGTCAGTGCAGTGAACTCTTTCCTTTTTAAGAATCTGTTCATTTAGGAAGCTTGAAATAAGCCCCCCTCTCACTTTATTTAAAGCCCACTAAAAATTACCCATATGAATCCAGAGCTGTCAGTCAATGGTGATTTACATGTAAGTCACAGGGTTGACCTGCTTTGATTTAAGTGGGACAGTAACTAAGTACATTTACTCATGTAACATAGTTAAATGCCAACTATGAGGTACTTGTAGTTTACTGAGGTATTTCTATTTAAACTCTATACTTCTTCACCACATTTTAGAGGTACTTTTACACTGTATTAAATTCACCTGAGAACTCTAGATAGTGATTTTCAAATATAAATGTAATGTTTAACATAATATGTAATAAAACACATTAACTGATTTTTGACCCCAGATCTACGAGGGAACTCCTCTTGTTTCGACTATGGGGACCAGGGTATAAATAAACTTCTGGCTAATTTCTTTTACAGGTCAAACTAGCTCAGGACAGAGGGGAATGATTGGATTTAAATCAGCTTGTCAAAGAGAGATTGAGCACTTCTCTTGAAGACTAATTTGAAACACTTGAAAACTGGGTCACCTCATGGGACAAAAGTTAAAATATCTCATTTATGGTTTTGTTTGGACACACCTGAGCACTCCTGTATGTTTATCATTCAACTCAGAGAACAAAACATCCGTGTAAGAGGAACGACTTATCTGGGCCTTTTTTCATGTTGTCAGATGAATCAGATACAGCGCACCAGATGACGCTCGTCTTGTTAGAAATTGAACTGGATAACAATCAACTCATTCTCCAAACGCTGCACATCAGGAGGTGAATTAGATGTAAACACACTCCCAATGCCCTTTTATGTTAATATTCTAGATTCCATATCTCTTGCAAAAACCTTATATAAACATCCATTCTCTGTTCGTTCTTATGAGGTGGGCGTCTTTTAATATGCACCGTTTGCTCACTTATCCCCCACCTTGAGAATATTACTCATAATCCATGTGCAATAAATCTGATTAGCATCTTGAAGTGTCCCCGCTCCTCCTGTCCTAACCCTTCAGTGTCTCTCCTGCTGCTTCAGTAGTAATATAATGGCATTAGGACAATCCTCTGAGCTGCGCAGGTTATTTTAGGACTCGGCTTTACAGTGCAGACAATCTAATGAAAGTGACATACATGGAGAGGAAAGAAAGAATGAGAGAGTGTGACAGTTAGGAGAGTCTTTATCAGTATTTGTCTGCGTTTTGGGGGCTCAGTCAGGGCAAAGCTGCAGTGTCAACAGCATGCATGTCCTAACTGGAGTGTCGTGTTTGTGCAGGACGGAGAGACAATCAGGCGAAGGATGAAGTGGAGGGCAGTGAGCCAAGGTGCAGCATGAGGAAGCAGTATCATGTTGGCTCAGACCGGCTCGCTCCCCCCTTCTGCTGTCCCTGGTTGGAGGACAGGAGAGGGTGATAGGGAGGGAGGCTTGAGTTTCATGCACGGCTCTGATCCAAGCTTAATGTCCTCATTGCTGCTGCAGCTGCACCAGGACATGCCTCTACCTGTTCATGCCACCAGTTAATTGTCTGATTTTATTCCAGCAAAACCCCCAAAGCGTTTTTTTATTGTACTTTACTGTACAACATCTCTTGTACTGGTTTTGATACAGTATTAAGGACAAGACGTTTCAGGGCATTTCAAGCATTGAAGAGATTTTTCAAATGTCTTCCATGTCTTGTAATCGGACCTCACTTAAATATTTGCATCTATGAATAAAGTGCTTGCCCGACAGAATCAGATTATTTATCAGAGAGTATTTAATTGACATTACTTTTAAGCTGTTTCCAGACATGAACTCCAGAGAATGTCCACATAATGCAATCAGGAGTTTGTTCAGTGTTTTCCATTAACATATGGAGAATGCAGCAGGAGACGCACTACACAGACATTTCCAGGGGTTAAGGGGCGATGAAGGAGGTGGAACGTAACTATAAATTCTGCTGCAATCACATTTCTTTCTAAGACTTCTTCATGCATGGCTCCTCTTATCATCCTTAGATATTTCTATTCTTTTTTTTTCAGTTTTACATTTGTGGCATGTCTTAAAAACATGACATGGATCCATGCTCACTGAGGAATCTTCTGGAGGATAATCTGCTCTCTTTGGCTCATTCGGACATTATCCAGAGTTTTTACTGGGGCTGCCAGGAGAAACCCGGAAGAATGTCCGCAGCAAATGACTCTGACATTTGTTTTCTCACGTACAATGCCTCACGACCATTTCAGGAGATAATCTGGAGATCAGTGCAGGTCTGAAAACATCTGAAGTAACCATATATTTTTGTATTCGAACCCAAATCCCATTGGAGAAAAACATATTCCACATCCTCAGAGTCTCTCTTGAAAGAAAATTCCATCAGCTGTCATTCCAATAAAAAAAATGTATATAATGATTAGTTGGATAAATGGAATGACATTTTTCATTTATTTAGCTTTAGGTTGGACCGGATAAGATGTATATCAACGATGATGATGATGGAGATGACGTCAATGCCAGTGTCGTCACGTTTTCACAGGGCACTGTCCAAATAAGCCTCTTTAAAGGTAGATGACAACACACACGCACACTGAGATACACCGAGGGCCCGAGGCTGAAACTGCGTGACACAGACCTCTGTTGCGTAACAGGCGTGCCAGGCGGTAGGTTGATAGGTAGGCAACCGTGTTCATCCGCTTGTGAGTGAAGAAAAAAAAAAGAGGGAGGGATGTGAGGAGAGATGGAGCGGTCGGTCGGAGGGGGCGTTCGGCTCCTCACTGGCTCATGACTGGAGGGAACTGGCAGCGGCACAAGGCTGCTGAGCACAAACCTGCTCTGTGAATGTGTGTGAGAGGAGCGTTTTCACCTCCTGCGCCCTGATACAGCGACAGTGAACTACGGTTTCCTTTGGATATGTAGAAGTCCCGGTCTCCTGCCGCAGAGGACGCCATCGGAGGGAGCAGCACAGCCCTGCAGGTACGCTCAGCTCGAACAGATCGTGGACTTCGGAGAACAGTTACCTGAAGCTGCTATGCGGCGACACTTGGCGCAGTGAGTCATGCGTAATAGCGCAGCCCCTACCTGCGCCGCGGTACCGTCCGCAGATGCAGGTTTACGGTGTTTTTCCGCATTATTACCTCCACTAATTTACCTGTTATTGGTTTCCGTGCTTTGAGTACGTTGTCTTTGGTAATAACGTGTCATGAGAAGTGCAGGAGAAGCGTCGGTTTGGCCGATTGTGTGGAGATAGGATGAACCAAAGACAACGTGAGGATATACGACATGACTGTTCCCTTAAAGTGAAGCCAAATTAGCGTCTTAATTGCCATCTAGTGGTTGGCTGCAGTACATTTCACAAATCCAACCTCCTCCATGTTGCTGAATGGGACATGGACCAAACTAAGAACTAAGAAGTACACATCAAATAAAAATGTCTCAGATTCTTTTGTCATTTTTGGTAGGTGTTATTGCATCTATTGATTTTTCCATTAAGTTTTATTTATTTAAGTAGTTATAGTTATTTGATGTTATACACAACATGATGAAACGTCATGATTGACAGCTGAGATACTCATGATCGTTCAAGCGCATGTATAGGCGGGACCTAGAGACAATGGCTCCACCAACTTATCGTAGACTTTCCAAATGGCAAGATGGTGGCTTTCATATCCAAGATATTTTAGCTTCATTTTTTAATAGTGGGAGGAAGTTGCGATGCGTTGTCCATTTTTTTAGTGAATGCAGCCTATGGGACGAACGTAGTAATGCTGTTTTTCTGCTTTATAATTAGTGAATTATGTCAGCCAGTAATGAAACATACAAAAACCAGGGTTGAATAACACTGTCAAATTTAGTGTTTATACAGACACCTACTAGCTAATGTTTGCTGATGTTTATAACTATTAGCTGTTTTGGATACAGTTAAAACTATGTGCCTATTTGAGTCATAACTGTTTTCTCAGGTTGAGGACTCACCTATTTTCAGTTGGTGGCTCTATTGTTAATTTCAATTCTTATTCAATCCATCAGAGACCCCACCAGCTTTAAAATAATTGTTGTATTGCCAAATCCCAATCAGCTTCACCATCCAGACTCGACCACCAGCTTCTTTCATTAGTTTGACTGGGAAACCTATATGCCCAAATATTAAAGGAAATTGAATTTGTTCTCCTGTCCACAAAGTGCATAGAAGTGTGTGCAGTTAGGTGGTGAAATGGCAACAAATGGAGTAGTATTTCAACCTTTGGCCACCGCTTGCACGTGCACAACATGTTGTACCTGCGTGTTTACAGTATATTTACGAGGGTTGTCCAACCTCGGCATGTAGGAGAAGGGCTGTGGCACTACAGAGGAATTGGCTGCACCTGTTCCTCATCAGGATCCTAACTCATCCAGCAGAGCGAGGGAGGGGAAAAGTGGGGGAAAACACTCTTACTGGGATAGCACAGGGCAGACAGAGCTGCTCAAAAGTGCTACTGGATGTAACGCAGAGCCCAGCCAGACGAGTTGAATTCAAAAGAAAAACATCGCACACCACTCTGTGGGAGAGAAACAGGCCTAAATCTGCTTTAAAAGCTCAGAAAAGATTTCGTTGACAGTGTTTTCATGGAGAAGTGGGGGTTTGAAAGAGTTAAAGGCTGTTGCCGGACTGAAGATGAACCATGACTTCAGGCTTATAATTGAGTAGCCAACAAATGGCTTACTTTAATGGCTTACCTTGTAAAATAATGGTTATCATTCATTCCTATCGTTGGCCAGACGCTTTTAAACTGTCAGGATAGTAAAAGAATACCTTCCAGTTAATAGCCGACATGTCACACTCCTCAGAACAGACAGTGCTCAACTGTCAGAGTAGAGGAAAGTAAAGAATAACTCAAGATATTGATGGAGAACAAACCCACTAACCACTGGACCCATCTGTTCCCCTGCTCTTTCATGCCTCTGGATCTTTTTTTGATCTAGTCCACTGAACTCATTACATTTTTAATAAAGTTCCAAATAAGAGCATCCATGCACATGATAACACTTTATTTTTATAAATACACAATTTGTTTGCAAATTGAATGATTGCCACGCAACACACCACTTAACACAACAGTCTTTATTGAATGCAGCTGTGGCAGAGTTGGGTTGAAGTTGAGCTTTGGTTGACTCCCTGCAGCAGGCACACACTTTATGACTTGCGATGCCTGTAATCACTTTTCCTGCAAGTGTTTTGTGGCTCGACATGGTTTAGCAGCTGTCTTAATCAGTCCCCAGACTTTCTATCTCTCGGCTTGTAATTCTGGGAATGTGTGCGTGGTAATTCGAACATCTGAGTACCCTCTTTGTCATAATAATTCACCGAATATTTGTAGACAGTGTCAGCTCTCTGGTGAGCTTTCTCTCCGTGGCCATTGATCCCATTTCTATCGTTGTAGCATGTGTTTTTATGCAGGGGGTATGCGTCTGTCTAGGTGTGTGTTTTTGTGTGTGTGGAGTGACAGTTAAAGCACCTCACCCTTTAAACGCTGACCTCCTTCAGCTTTTGATCTGTGGCTCGCATGAAGGCGGAACATCAGTCAAAGATGTTGTGGGGCTCAGCACTTTAAAGCTGGACATCCGCTTCCACCAGGGATCAAAAGCATCCACGATTTGTTCTGGAGCCTCCCCTCTCCATATAGCATGACCTCGCTGTGTGGTTGGCGTCCCCCCCCCCGCCCCAGGTCAGTGGAGCACCACGTGAGGGGCATCTGTACCAGGCTTTGGTTTGACTTAAGAGCTAAATGGACAGTTTTGGACGTTGGCTGAAAACTTTCTTTGTCTTTGTCTTAATGTATATTAACTGAATATAAACCGATTAAAGGTTCAGTGTGTAGAATTTAGTGACATCTAGTGGTGAAGTTGCATGTTGCAGCTGAATACCCCTCACCTAAGTTTGTCCAGTTTGGGCTACTTTAAAAAACATGGCAGGCTCTGTAGAGAGGACCTGCTCCTAATTTAATTTAAAGTATTTAAATATAAAGGGCCCTTTCTGGGGTAAAGAAAACAATCATTCGTACAATTTAGATGAAACACACTGTGAAAATATCACTAGAATTATTTTATAATCAATGTCTGAATAGATCCCTTTTACCTAAATCTTACACACTGAACCTACAAGTGATATTTTTTTATTTACTTAATTGGTCGTGATATAATTTCAAAATGAGCAAGAAAATAACGTGAGAGCTGTTTTGCTGTCCATATGTTATTTCAAGGTGTGGAATTTTTTAACGGTCAAACCAGCGACCTCCCCCCCACCACTCGCATACCAACATGACCACATATGCTCCCCCGCCTATTTCTCCCCTCAGCCCCGTCTCTCTCCCTATGTCTCACATACACACAAATGAACAAACACACACTGCTTCACAGTCACACCTCTCCCCTTCCAGAGTGCAATACAAACAAGTCATACATCAGTATGGCAAAAGCTGATGGACAAGCATTAATACATAACTGCTCTTCTGGTCTGAGTCACTGTTGCTTTGCAGACGTCCACCAGCTCTGTGCTGTTTTATTTCAGTCACTTTCTGCTTTTCCTTCTCTCTCCATCTCTACTGTTCCTCTGTCTTTGCTTTCTTGCTGTCCCAGCAGAAACACAGTACCACTGTCACCATGTAATCAGATTCCTACCATCAGTTTCTTTTTCTTGTTTTTTTTGGGAAGCTTTCCATCTTATCATTGCCTCGGTCTCTCTCTTGTGTTCATCCCCATCTTCCGTTAACCAGCTGTTCCTCTCAGCTGAATGACCGTCTCTCTGCTCACGACTTTGTTTGTGCTCCACTGGTAGCCTCCTTGACACTGGATACTGTAAAGTCATCTCAGGTATTGGGCACTCACTCAAAGACATGACCTTGTAATCTCATTCCCAGACACACACAGCATCAGCATGTGTGCATTCACACATTCTGAAGAAGACGACGGCTGGGTATGAATTTTTAACCATGCTAGCAACGCAGCACTAAGGTTGAGGATCGGATGATCAGTCACTCCAACCACTTTGCTTCCCACTGAAATGTCTCAAAAACCATTCGATGGATTGCCATGTCATTTTGTACAGACAGGGTCTGTGATATTTCCTCTAAATCCTCTTGGTTGGTATTTGCGGTTTTGAAATGTCGCAAAGACTATTGGATGGATTTTCATCAAATTTGGAGCACATTAAACACACTGTGTAACATGCATATTAAGTGATGTTCACAAACAATTCCAGAGTTCGTAGTTAAAACAACTTCTGTAAACTTAAATTCTGCCAAAGAAATTCAAGTTTGTACATGTGTAGAAAAATTTGATTTGTAAATGTATAAAATAAAGTTCTAAAAATGTAATGGGTTCTTCCCTGACGTATACTGCATCCTTCCAATCAAGACTGGTGCTAATTCATCCAGTCATTTTTGTCTAATGCTGCTAACCATGACAGAGGTTATTAGAGTAAATAAATTACATATCTGACTAGACTTTCAATCCTGTCTTTCAGTAATTGACAGTTCTAAGTCTGTTAGGAAACATTTTGGTCATTATAGAGTTGAGGCTCAATACCCAGCGTAGATTTGACCCATCTTTGTTGAAAAGACACAGATTCTTCTGTTCCCAAATAGACTTAGGACTGTCCCTGGAAACATTCACAGAATTTAATGGAATTTTTGCACTGCCACTGTGTGTGTGTGTGTGTGTGTGTGTGTGTGTGTGTGTGTGAGAGAGAGAGAGTTCTCTTAACCCCACCTCTTTCTTCACCCCACCCTATCTGCCTGTCTCCTTATGTAAAGTGGCATTAACTCGCCATATTAATACATTAGCGTAGACATAGCATCACTGAGATTAACTGATTACCAGCTGCTGTTACATTGACTCAGATGATTATATAACCAGCAGATCTATTCTGTGAGCGAGGACTTTATAGTAATCTTCAGATTGTTGCCCACAGCTGTACCATTGGATATTATCCATGGGCCTTTCCTGCCCGGGATAAAGAACGTATTGTGTGAAAGAGAGTGACGACATCCGCACTACATGCACATCCCCACTAAAAATGAAATCCAGAGTGATGTGTGCCTCGGGCCCGAGGGGCTGAATGTGATAAAAATACACTTGCTGCCTTCTCCTCCCCTGGACAGTCACAGAGGGATGTGCTTACTGTGTGTGTGTGTGTGTGTGTGTGTGTGTGTGTGTGTGTGTGTGTGTGTGTGTGTGTGTGTGTGTGTGTGTGTGTGTGTGTGTGTGTGTGTNTGTGTGTGTGTGTGTGTGTGTGTGTGTGTGTGTGCGCGCGCGCCAACCACAGCAGATGCGGTTGGCTGAGAGCATTTAGGTCTACATTCAATCCAAACACATAACCGGCTGATTACACTGATCTTGTCTTTGTAGTGTTTGGTTAGAAATGAAAACCGACAAGTCTGTTCCCAGTTTGAAATTCAGACTGCTAAAGAGGAGCTGCCAGTCTGCTTCATTTACTCTCATATTTATTATTCTCGTGGAAATTTGTGGTAAAATTGTCTAAATCCATTCAAGAAAAACATTTTGGGAAACCGCTGCTTTGTGTGTGGCTCTATTTGTGCATATGACCCTTGTATGGAGATGAGATTAGCACTGACAGCATTTTAAATACAGCAGCAGAGGGTTTCTCACTTCTCACTAGAGTTTATGCTGCAAAATGCCTTTTGGGACTCATTAATCACCACTACCTATAGTGTCATACCCGTATAAGGCTTACGCTGGATTACTTCAAATCAAGATAGTGATATGTTTACTAAAATCCATTTCTCAATAGTCAGGGTGTTTATCTCCAGCTGCCAGTGACTCCATAGCTGCCAGTTAACGTCAGAGCAAAGGTGAAGCAGGCTCAGTTCCCCACATGCCTTCCCTGCACAGATTTCTTTGCTTGGACCATAACAAACGTGTTCATCCTGGAACTTGCTGTAGTTTCCTCGTGACTCTTCCTCCTCTTCTCAAATATTCTTTGTCTCAGTAGAGATGTTTCAATTTCCTTACCTCTACCAATACTGATTCGGATACCTGGACTTGCACACAACCTATATAACGTATTTTAACAGCTGTATGCTGATAACTCTGAATGGAAGTGGTTAAAGCTCTCATTGCTGTGTGGCCTGGCTCAGGTTAAACCCTTTGAAAACAAATACATACAGAAAATGAATGCAATAGAACTTATTTTATGATTAAGGGGTTAAGAGTCTTAACTGAAAAACAACATGTGGAATAAAAAATAGAAATAAAAAACAAGAATTTCCTTTAGATAGCTGTTAAAGTGCGTGATAGTGGCTAATGTTGCACCACCCCTCAATACTGACGTGTAGCATGCAATACACCATTTTGTTTGTGGGACTTTCCAGCGTGAAATATTGCCAAATCACTAATGATCACTAAACACTTGAACGACGTGGTTTCTGATCAGTTCATAGATTCACATACTCGCCGATGCCCAACACGGTATTTTCAGCAGTGCTGGTGGCGTTTCCAGTTTTGTTAGCATCGGAAAACTTTCTGACAGTTTCTGTCAACCCGCCCCTGTCTCCTAAATTTACAGCCTTCGTCGCTTCTCTCCGTCTTAATTTTGTCACAGATCCCTTCAATTCCTGCCCCCTCCCTTCTCCATATCCTCCACTGTCAGATTCACTACCATCACTGCTTCTCCTCCATCTTCTCCAACCTTCCATCCCAGCTGCCTGTCCCCTCTTCCTCCTGCCGCCCCGTCCTCCCAGCGAACCTCTTTTCTTATCTCCACATTCTTATATCTACCTCCTCTGTTTCTACTTATCTCTCTTATCTTCAGGGTTTTCTTTCAACCTTCATCCAGGAGCAGGCTGCAGCACTGTGGTGAAGTAAGTCCAGTTAAATGGGGGACATGAGTAAAAGAAAGACGGGGGGAAAAACAGGGATTTATCAGAGATTGGATTGGCTAACAGCCGACTACACTGAGAGCAGAGGAGCTGGTTGAGACGGGAAGGAAAATAAACATTGAGGCTACTGTGAGTGGGTGGAGATTGAGATATACTACCATTTATATTACTGTACTCATGGACATGTTTTCTCTACAGCTGCTCTGCTAACACTCAGCAAACAAGGAAACAAAACATGGGTATAGGCGTTCTGAAGTGTGCAGAGACTGATCGCTGTGCACGGGTCTAAATCTTCTCACATACCTACAGTATGCTCAGGAACTTCCTGCTTGGTGACTGACCCCTTGTGCACACATATCCTTTAACACATTTTCCATATACTCACTGCATCTCTCGTGCACGTGCACAGCTGCAGTAATTTCTCTGAGAACTAGAGGCCAGGGCTGTGAATGAGGCCTCAGTGAGTCATCTGCAGCAGCACGGACCCTCCCATAGGCGCTGATGTGTCTTTTTCTGTGCTTTCCCTCCTGATGTTTCAGGGTGAAGTTTCAGTATGATTCTGACTCCGCTCCCTGAGGTTATCTCCCACTGTGAGTCACAGACAGACACTAGTGTGAACAAGGGAGGGTCTTACGTAAGTTTTAGGCTGAAAAAGTAATAGAAAAAGGGGTGTTTTTTGATAAGAGGTCAATGTTGGGATGCAGCCGGCAGCTGTTCAGGTTGATGACTCGTAGGATTGTGTAATTCTCAGGAGCTTGGGGGGTTTCTGTGCGGCACCGGGCTCTCTGAGCTTCACCACACTCCACTGTTACAGCTGTCAGCTCCTGGCATCCGTGACTCAAACATAACTATCACAAAAGCAGTAGAGTGGAGGAAGAAAAAGAAACTGATGTTCATCCAAAGAACATTTTATGGCAGGGAATAGATAGTGTGGAAAATAACTTAATTCGTCCATCTGCTACTGAATGAAACCATCTGTGACTCCTGTTGGTTTTGACAGTGCTTGTTATATAACTTTAGAAGTCTTGCCTTTGTGTTTGTCTTGGTGACATTTATTCTGAAACCGTATACCTGGCCACACCCTGTGTGTCTGCTGGTGTCATGCTGGTGAATCATTGACCTGCCCACAGTATTAAAGCTATAATATGGAACTATTCCCTAATAAAGCTAAGGTTGGTGATCCTGGAAAAGCAAGAGCAAGCTACAGTTTGATAACGGATGCAGCCCCCCTCCTTCCATCAGCCCTCTTGTTAAAGCCAGTGTTGGCTTTAACCCCCAAAACACATGAACTCATTCGGTCTGAATTAAATGGTTGGTTGTGTTTATCACATTCGTAGACTCTGGCTTTATTTCCTTTTTATTTTCAGACAACCTTTTTTTTTTTTGATAGATAGTGATTCAGTAACAACTCACCAACCCTAGCTTTAAAATGTCTAACGACTGGACCTATGTTATGTATTTTGTTGATGTACATTATCCAAAATGTTTCCAACAATGTTAAAAAAATCCCAGATTTTATTCAAGGTTTCATTTTGATCATCTTTTAATTGCATCATATCAGTTTTTCCTGCTAAAAACTTTTGGGCAAACAACATATGACGAAGAAATAACACACTGCTAGCCACTTAGCTGTTTTTCGCTTTCACTGTTTTTAGTGGTCACTTGGAATGGATCATGATTATTTATTGCTGTGTAATGTGAACATATTACATATTGTACATTTAACTCCTCATATCACATCTTCACTCAATTCACTGCATTAACCTTCAGCAAACTATGGACCATCGCTCCTGCATAGTGAAAAATTCAGCATTTGACTCCAGTTTTTCATCAAAGTCCCTTAAGGTGTTTAACTGTATTCTACTTTAGTTGTTTCTTGTTTTATTCCATGAAACTAACACAGTGCCTGTCTTCTCTGCCACCAGCTGAAGGATGGTGTGACCGATACAGAGACAGACTGAGGGACCAGTCACTACTCACCACTCAGAGGCAGACCATGGCTCCCATGTCCCTTCTCTTCCTGGGCTTCTTCCTCTCTTTCCTCCATTGTTCACATGCCCAGGTCATCATCGCCTCCTCATCCTCCTTTCCTCCACTCGACCTACCTATTAACTCTTCTCCTCCACCAACCAAGCAAACTGCTGGAGTCTGGCCCTCTTTACCTCCCAGAGGGCGCAGTGATGTGCCCGTCAGAGCGACAGTCCGGGATAGGCTGACAAGTACGAATGCAGTGCTACAGGGACAAAGAGTGACCCATCCTACTGCACAGTCCATTCCTTCTTTTATATCTGGCCTCTCTGCAAAGAACCTCAGCAGCGGACCAATTTTAACCCAACCGACTGCCTCCAGGCCCAGGACTGATACAGCCAGTTTAAAATTCAGGGCCTTTGCTAAAGTGGACACTGCTACAAAAGGCTTTACCCCGCCTCTGCCCACTTTACCTTCCACTGCTGTCGCTGAGCTTGCAGGTAACAAGGCAGGTAATTCAGAGTCAGAGGATGATGATCCACAGGGGTTAGGATCAGGTAGTTCTCCAACAACGATGATGGGGAAGGAGGAAGCACCTATTCCAACAGTTGCTGATGAAATGGCGCAGTATCAGCCTCAGGCACAGACGGTGATGTCTAAAACTTCTGACGAAAAGAAACCAGCACCTGAAAGTCAGACTGTGAAGCTCCCACTGTTTGTGCTCACAACAGCCAGTAAAACCACAATATCACCAAAGACTGAGACGAGAGCAACACTGTCCTCTGTGGTGACGAAAGCAACACTTCACACTGTAGTATTAACAGGTGAGAAATCAAATGTCTTTCTACTAATTTCCTAGATCTCGGTTTGTCTGTAAGTGGAACGCATATATGAAGACCATATATCACAAGGTCCAAAGAAGGTTTGTTGAATTCGAGATTTGGATATGCGATAAAATTTAATAAGCCCAACCCAAACAGGCAGGTTTAGAACGGGCACTGCTCAGAATAATCGCTTCATGATAGTAAAGTCAAAAATATTTACACCATGTATAACAAATATGCTTTCTTCACCATATTTTAGGAGACCTGACAACAAGCACTCCTCCCACTGACAGAGTTCCTCCGCAGCAGGACTCGGTGATGACCACCACCACTGGGTCTACTGAGAAACAGCCACAGGCTTCAGAGCTGCCAGTCACTGCCCAAAGCCAGAAGAGTTTGCATTCTAACACCACAACACCGCAAGTGACGACCACATCTACAACTAGTGTACTTACTACAACACTGGCGGCTGTGAGAATGTCCTCAAAAGCATCAAATCAACCCAACATAACGACGCAACAAGGAGGGAATACAGCCAGCACAACAAGGACAGGTACAAGACAAAGGTCTTGTGTTTTATAGTAGATGACGTTTGTTTTTGTCCTGATCATTTAAAATGGAATTGTTTGTGCAGCTTGGACTTTTTACTGGAAGAATCTGAAAAGAAAGCTTCAAAGAAGGGGAAAAAGTGGAGACACTTTTCCGTGGAAAGTGGGGTGGCAGTTGTGTGGAGTAAAAACGGCAAGGGGAGAAAGTATGAGCAGGAGGAAAGAGGGGAGGGTTGAAGAGGGGACCGGTGGATTCACAGCCAAACAAAGAGATAGACGAGTCTGAAAAAGAGAGTACAGATGGGAGAGAGCAGACAGGGTGGGTGAGAGTGTGGCAGAGGAAAGGTACGGGCAGAGAAGTCCAGGGAGCGGGGTAGGTAATGAAAACCAGATGCACTAAGGAAAGCAATGAAGGGAGCAGACTGGAGGAAAAGTAGATGGAAAAGGAAAAGCATGACACATGGGACACATGAGCCAGTCTCTTAGATACCATGAGAACAACATCATAACTACTTTTAAACACTCAGGCTCTTCGGCCCCACAAGCTCATATAAAGTCTTTAAATGGGCCTTTAGCAGGTCGTTGAAAGAAATAACTTCCTGTATCCAAGAGTAGCAGTTTGTACAGTTTGTATATATCTGCCGACATTTGTATCTGGGACATAAACATGATTGTATTTCCTATGAGATGGAGCAGGATATTTATTTAATAGTTTATAGCAATGTATGGACATACAGTATAAAGCAGTGAAAGAAACTCAAGGGTGTGGGTACGTTTAAGTGTATCCAGCTGTGAAATGTGATCAGCACATCTGGAATGTGTCTGGATTTTGCTCCTTTGAGGAAAAAAAGGCAGTTTCAGGGAAGGAAGTGAAACATACCATTTATAAAAATAAAGAAAAGAGTGTGTGATCTGGGTGCAGTGCTCACACATGTGAGTCTGAAAGTGAAATTTGTGTGGGTGGTGGTGGGTGTGGGTGTGTGTGTGTGTGTGTGTGTGTGTGTGTGTGTGTGTGTGTGTAATAGGAGGGACGGAGTGAGGGACAGAGCCAGGAATTGAAACACATGTCGGAGTGAGTCATTAGTCAGCGTATCTTCTTTATAAGTGTTTTCTACAGGGGGATGAACTCCTCAGTGCTTCCAGCGGCTGGTGGTTTGTGTGTTTTATGCAGCACTGATCATTTAGTTCCACCATCCATCAAGTTAATTGCGCCCGTAAAATAGAGATTTTCTGATGCAGATACCGGCACAGATACTGTGATCCAAATTAACGACTTAAAGGTGTATTTGCTTCACCCAGATAAAACTGCAGTTTTATTTTCCCAGAGATCACTCCTTCCTCTTCACTGCTCCAAACAGCAGTTGCGCTGTACTGCTATTGGCAAGTGCAGTTTTTTGGAGCGGCAAAAAAAGAAGTGATTTAGCCAGAGCAAGTTAGAATGTTGGAGGAGTAGAACGACAACATGTACCGTGTAAAACTTCAGTTTGGTGACACTAGTGTTGCCAATTACAACACCAGCAATCTCATAAAGCGTTTGTAGGACCATCACATGAAAGGGCACGAGGAGTTCACCAAGGCGAAGAGAAAAACAAACAAAATACAGAAGGTAACTTTGGAAACCACATTCAAACGACGCACTAAATTCAACAAATACAGCATGCAGCAGGACAACCAACAAACTTGTCGAGTTCTTTGTTTTTTATTCCTAGATTTATTGATTGGTGTTCATTTTCAGTTATGACTGTCAAACTAAATGATGAAACAAGTTCCATGTGACATTCATCCTTTTTTCAAAGGGTTTAACCTGAGCTCGGCCATGCAACAATGATAGCAGTCATCACTTACATCCAGGGTTAGTAGCATAAAGCTGTTAAACACGTTATACAAGTTTTAATTCTTTTAAATCTGCCGATATCATGTCCGCACTCGGTATCGGTCGATACACTGTCACAAGTCCAGGTATTGGAATCAATACCGGGAAGGGAAAAATTGTGTCATAACATTTGTAGTGTAAAACAGTTCCTTATGAATATTTCTAGATGCCTCTATAGGTTACAGCTATCTCTTAATGCCCCATCACTCACTAAGCCATATTTGTTTTCTTCTCACTGAACCCTTTTAAATGATTACATTTAGTATTAATATTAATATTCATTATTGTTCACATAAAGTAGAAGATTCTCATTTGTAGGTCATGGTTTTTTATGCTGTTATCTATGTAGCTGAGTAGCTGTGATTGTAATGTTGTTGGGAGTGTCCAGGGTTTTACAGGAGGTGCGGTGCCTTGAACAAACATAATGAGACGATGCAAGACGGAGACACAATGAGCTGCATGTTGTCGTCTCGTCTGATTAAGGGATTTATGCTTTGTAAAACTCTGCACATTCAAACAGAGAGATTTCCTGGTTGAGATGCATTGTGACATTGTGCTGCAGTATGTAACGTAGACGAGCCTGTTAATTATGTAATCTAATCCAGTTAAGTCACCATAACTGCTCAGCTCTCCAGAAGAGTTTCGCTCAGCAAAATGTCTGATGTAGTGATGACAATAACGCGTGATGTGACCATAGACTGTATATAAAGAGGATGTGACGTTGTATTTAATGAGTTAATGATTGTTTTACTAGATTATTGATTAAACCTTATCAGACCTTGGTCAGACGTGTGTTAGCTGAGTTGTTGTGCCTCTTGTTTGGCTCACATGTGCAGTTGTGTGTGCTTTGTGTAATCCAAACTTGACCTGTGTAAAGGAACATTGGCTTTGGTTTAGGTTTGTTATTTTTACATTCGGTCATGGTTTGTGATGTAGTGTTATAGTTGATGGGGAGCAACACTAGAGACAAGGGGAAAGGAAAAACTGAAAATATTCCTTTTTAGCCGTGCCTTTCAGTAATCTGTATTTTATTTTATTTTATTTTTACTTCTATTCCTTTTATTTTTTATTGTTATATTTTAGTTTTATAGATCTTAGGTATCTATATGCATCTGTGTGTTTGTTTTAATGTGTCTAATGTTTATCTTGTCACATTCCAATTCATTTTTTGGTTGCGACTTCCATGGTAGCTCACGCACATTTTACTTCCACCTTGAATTAAATGTGAAACATGAATGAATGTTTGCTCCGTTACTAAAAAAGATTTTAATAATCAGCGTATTGAAATCGTATTAGTTTTATTGTTTGATTAGACTTTGTCTGCGCATGTGTTTCATTTCTGTGTAGAATTAGCTGAGTTACTGTGGAGAACTATGAATGGCAGATAGCGCTGATTAATAACATAGATGGGGAGCTACCCCCCTCTAGTGGCTTTAAATAGAATTTCATGTACTTTATCGGTACAAGTCTACTTTTCAGTTAAAGGACATTCTGCAGGAATTCCCTCCTATTCAGTAACATTTGATTTATGTAAATTTAAAAAACAACAAACCAAATCTCTGTTTCTTTTTTTTTGTAGGAAAACCTTCCTTCCTCACCACCGGTGTAGTCCCAGTCACACGGATAAGGTTTTTCCCCACTTACCAGAGTGGTATTGGTCAGAGGAACCGCTCTACTCTCCTGGGACATACTCACCAAGCTCCCCACGCCACTTATAATCCAGTCCCCTCTCCCAGTGCCATTCCCTCTAACAGCACATTTCTGTACTGGGGTGACCTGAGCCGGACACTGGCTTTCGCCTGGGAGCTTCATGTCTACGGTTCAGCAAGTCTCTTCCTCCTCCTGTTTGCTGGAGCTGCTCTCGGCCTCACCCTGTCCCCTGCCACAAACTGTCCTCATCGGGGTGCCGTTGCACTCGCTAACGCTCTATTGTTTCTTGCCGGAGGCCTTAGGGCTACTCTCTTTCTAATTGACCCCTATGGCACACGGAAATTGCTCCCTCGCCCTGCAGTTATGGTGCTCTACAACTTGCCTCTACACCTGCTGGTGTGGACACATGCTGCCCTGGCATTGTTGGCCATGAGGGTGGCAGGGGTGAGTGTGTTACCTTCGACTATGGAACGTCCTCCTCTGGTGGCTGTGTTGGCAGTGTTGCAGTGCACGCTGCTGCTGGCAGCTGATCTGCTCTCCCCAGCCCTGTCCCCTGTGGTGCCCGTCACCCTGCAGGTCCTGTCGCTGTGCTGGGGCCTGGCTCTCTGTCTGGGTTTTCTCTGCTATGTCTTCCCACGTATACGCTGCCCTCCGCTTCCCCACCCTGGAGTCCCTGAACAGAGCACGAGGAAGGCTTGGACAGGGAGCAGGAGGATAGGTGTGATCCTGGGGAGAGTGCTGGCAGTGTGTGCAGTTGTGGGGGCATTGTGCTGTGGGCTGCATGTTTATGCCACCTTATGGCTCTATGGGCTGCTAGGGGACTGGACACACTTCAACTGGGGATGGTGGCTGGTTCACTTCTGGGCCCGGCTCTTGGAGCTCTCCTGGGGGTTCTCGCTCCTTCTCCTGGGTTCATGGCTGTTCTGGAGGCCCCAAGGTTACCAGGGAAGGGAGGAGGGTGGAGCAGACGGCAGAGCAGCTGGAGACCTGCCATCCCCTGGCCAATCTGTTGGGTCCACTCAAAGACATACCTGCTGGTCCAAGATAGTGCAGAGCCTGAAAGTGAAGCCGTGCAGAAAATCTGACAGCAATGGGGTAGGAGGAGGAGGAGGGGTAGTAGTAGGAGGAGGAGTAGTAGGAGGAGGAGGACCGGGAGAGATGCCTAACAACTGGGCTGGTCAGGAACGTCCTGGAGCTGACATCAGTAAAAGTCTGATCAGGAACCAGAACCACGAGCAGGTCACTGCTCTGCCACGCTATGTCAAAGACAACAACAGGGGGCGCAACCATAGGGGCCACTCTGCAGAACGAGGCATATCTGATGGCTCCACAGGCTCCCTGCTGAGACTGCAGGCGCTGGGACGTCCTCCTCATCGCTCAGTGAGTGGCAGCCTGGATCAGGATAAGGACACTTCCCTGTCTCTATGTGAGTTTGATCTACGCCCCCCCTCTCCCATCAACCTGACCCGTAGTATCGATGAGGCTCTGCACAGGGAACACCTACTGGAAGGAGGCAGCCTATTTTATCCCTTCAACCAAACCTCACAGTCTCCCTCCCCGGGCTCAGGGGTCAGCCAGGGACCCTGGCTCCGCAGGAACAGTGATCCTCAGATGCTCTCTGAGAGCAGCGAGGCCCCGACAGAGTCGTCAATGCCACTAGGTGGCAGCGTACTCAGCAGTGTACCCAGCAGGCAGGTGACTGCACCCCCCACACCTTCCCATCAGGGTCACAGGTGGGCTGGGAACGGGGTGACAAGTGTCCCCTCATCAGTGTCCTGCCCTGTGTCGCTTCGTCCGACCAGAATATCTACAGGGCATCTAGGGGAGGACGGGGTGGATGACACGCGGCCATTCATCACTCCAGACTCAGAGAGGGTGCGGGGAAGGGCTGGGAGGCCGGCGGGATCACGGAGTTACCTGGAGGTCAGTCGACATGACGACTCTGCCAGTGTGAACAGTGAAATCATTGACCTATGAACCAAACCGAGGACATGAGGACCAACGACTGTACGTCACACACACCCATTTAACAAACATTGTTCCTTCAACACACATAATAAAAATCTGTTTACCTTGTGAAAGGGTTCAACGACAGTGTGTTTGTGGAACTGAAGTGTTAAATCTTTTACTCTGGGAGTAAAATTGGGAGCTAAAGCACAGTTACTCTCCATCTAACTCTCCATTTCTCTCTAACTCTTTTTCTTTTCAAAGCCCCCCCCCCCC